TCTCTCGGGCGTTTGTTTTACAGGGAAAGGATCGCAAGCCTCAAGCTTTCCCTAGTTTTCTTTCTCCTCACATGACTCACGGGTAGAGAGAGGAGAGGAGAGGAGAGAGGGAGAGGAAGAGATAGAGAGAGACTTTCTTATAAACGTCGAGACGTTCGACGGTGTAATTTCTCAAGTTAATAAAATTCTCTGCAACTCCGTGGACGTAGACAATTTGCCGAACAACGTAAATTTGTGTTTCTGCTGTGTTTCTATTTTGCAAATTTTCCTTATTGCCATCGTTTTTCACAACATAATCAATACAATGGAATGAGAGAATTTTCAAAAGAACGGAAACTCATGCTCCCATCTCTATTGTATTTCACTTGCGTAATAGAATAATGTTGGTTGTGAACCTAAGTGGGATATAATTATAATAGTGAGTTTGTGGTGTGCAACCTACGGTGAGTGTGTCCATGAGTGAAGGGCAGTGCAAGGTTTGGGAGATTAGTAATTATCGTCTTCATTTAAATCATCAGCTTCTTATTTGTGATCATATTCATTATGTGGCCCTTCCTCTTGACGGTCCTCAAATGATCTTCATGCTGACAGGTTTTTACTTGTTGAGCATTATTCATGCTTCAGCTTCTCACACTTTCTTCTTGTCTCAATGAGAGCACTATATGTAAACAAACAGTTAGTCAATAATTATGGAGAGGGTGAAGCTAACAAGGGAGTTGCTTGTTTGAAGTGGAAAATATATCACAAGAACAAAATATGAAAAGCTCTTTAAGAAAATAAAATAAGCACTTTTATTTTTTTTTTCTCACTCTTGTTTTTTTCTATTATTTTTCTCTCAAAAAGAAGGCCTCGCTTTAAGTGCATGTATGTATTTGTGCATTTATGTTTGTCAATATGTGTATGTGTACGTGGGTATTTATGTATATATGTGTATCTACCTATAAAACTCATAACAATTACAAAAAGCAACTTGAAAGGATCTATGATATTAACTTTCTCATCTATAATCTATTTAGCTAGATTGATGAGATAGTGAAATATATCCTAGGTAGCATCACAATAGTTTTGTTTTTAAGGCTATTAATTCAGACCCTACAACATCCAAAGCAATGATTACAGCCCGTGGATGCATAGGAAAGAAATCAGCTTAACGTTTCTTGATATACTAATATACTATTATACCATACTTATTTACGTCTATACATCTATCTATTACAGATTTTACGCTTTAATTTCCAAAAAAAATTTGCATAATCTGATACCAAATTATGAAGCTTGATCGGTCTCTTGATTAATGAATGGGTCTGATGGCCACAAAATCAAAAGAAAGTTTAATATGTGATACATGCATCTGAATCTACTTATTTGACTATAATGTACTGTTTCCTGTATACCTTAAGCATGCCGTAGTCTTTATAAACTAATTGGTGCATTTACATACATATCACACAATTCTTATATATTTACATATTTAAAATGTAAACTTTTATATTTACATACATAACACTCAAATATTTAACATCACATCAAAAATATCACTTTTACAGACTTCATAAAAGTGAAAATTCCCTTTTTCATGCATAGGTTTATAACACCAAAGTGTTATGAATGTAAATATCAAATTTAGGTGCTAGATATGTAAAATACTTGTGTGTTTTCTGGTATGTATGTAAGTTTTTTAAACTAATTAGTCTGGTGAAACATTCTTTTGAAGTAATGTTGATTTTACGAAACATGGTATTTTATCCTGAACAAGCAGCTGATGCGCTTTTCTTTTTTTATTTACTGGCATGCGTGAATATATATATATATATTTGTTGTTCAACTCATGTTCTCTAGAAGTATTTATTTGGTGGATTGTTTTGGCATTGGCTTATTCATGTGTCGGTGGGTGCATATCAGTCTCTAGAAGTACTTTGTTGCTTCATCATATTTGAGGACGCTGTTCTTTCCTTTTAAGGGCAACTTTTGTGTTTGGCTGTTTGGGAGTCAACTTACTCACAAATTTAAATTAGCATTTCATTTTCTTCTATTTATGTATCTAACTTGATTTAGACTCTGTGAGGGAATGTAATAAACGAATCAATATATAAAATAAAATGAGATTAGAAAAAGAAATTATAAAGGATGTAGTGTCAGTTCGAATTTAATCGTCGAGGAAATTTCTTCTAAGTTTGAGACAAACCAGAAAGATAATTTTTATTTGTTATTTAAAATGTTTTATTTAGTGGCTTTTTCAATTAATTTTTTTTATATATTAAATTGTTATTGATAAAAATAGAAATATAGAAAATTTTATTGGCTCTTTCATCATATTTGAGGATGTTGATGTTTCCTTTGAAGGGTAACTTTTGTGTTTGGTTGTTTGGGAGCCAATTTACTCACAACTTTAAATTAGCCTCTCATTTTCATCTATTTATGTATCTAACTTGCTTTAGACTCTCTAAGGAGAATGTAATAACTGAAAAAATAATAAAAATAAAATGAGAATAATAAAAGAAATTATAAAGGATGTAGTATCAGTTTGAATATAACCTTCGAGGTAATTTCTTTTAAGTTTGAGACGAACCAGAAAGATAATTTTTATTTGTTAAATTAAAATGTTTCCTTTAGTGGCTCTTGAAATTAATTTTTTTATGTATTAAATTGTTATCGATAAAATTAGAAATATAGAAAATTTAATTCTACCGTCCGACCGTCTGTTTTTTATTTGATTAATTCCAAGCTTCATATCTGGTCATGACAAAAGTGGTATCAGAGAGAGTTTAGATTAAGCAACATGAATCTTAATGAAAAAGTCAACTGGATAATTGAATTAATTTATAAATAGTAGAAATTAAAATTTTAATTAAGTTTAATCAAAGTACTTTGTTATTATTTCAGAATTATGAATGATCAAGAGGAAGAGATCGGTAATGATAATGTTGAATTTGATATACCCCATAATGTCACGGTCAGTGCTGGTGCATTTTCTGATGCAGTTAATGTTGTAGATCAGTTGATTAAGAATTCTCAATCTTAAGGTACTAGCAGTGCAGGAACACGAATAGATAAATACTTGAAGCTCTTTGAGGATATGATGCCACATTTCTTTTCTGGAGGATGATGCCCGATGGATGTTGAGAACTGTCTATTGAGATTGGAGAAGATTATAGATGAGTTCTCTTTTCCGCCATAGAGAAGTGTTACACTTGTCATTTTTTCTTTCATGAGCGAAGTTGAGATTGTGGCAAGACCAGTTACAGGAGAAATTCGGTGGTCGGCCTAGCCTCTTAGTACAATGAGACTTGTTCTTGAGAACCTTCAGAGATTAGTTTTTACGACTATCACCCAAGAGAGTTGCAGGAAAAATTCATTGGGTTGGTACAGAGAGATCAATTGGTCATGCAGTATGAAGCGAGGTTTACTATACTGTCTAGATATGCAACACAACTCGTTTCAAATGTAGAGGAGAAATGCCACAGGTCTCGTTCTAGATTGAAAGATTCAATCAGGTAGCCACTAGTGCCACTTGAGATTGTGAACTATTCAGTAATGGTGGAGAGGGCTAGACATGTAGAAATTGATTTTCAACAGACTCAAAAGCGTAAGGACATGCACAAGTAGAAGTGTTGGGAAGAAGTGGCACAAACAATTTATTCTAGAGAGTCTAATGGGAAGAAATAAAGCATGTATTGATGGAGTTATTAGCCAGACTAGCGGCAACAATATAGAGCCCTGTGTTAAGTATGAGAAATAACATCGTGGTGAATATCTATTTGGTTTTAGGGGTGTTACTTCTGCAGAAAACCTGTGCATCAGATGAGGAACTGTCCAAATTTTGCTTAGAGATCTATATCAAATACTAACTTGGGAAGGGATTCAACCCAAAAAGAAAGTTTTTCAAGAGAGGTCTTCTTTTAAGAGTGATCAGTAGAAGATGATAATGGCCGGTAAAGTGACTCATAAGGAGCAAAAAAGACAAAAACATTCAACTAAGAGTCTATTTCCTAACCCATCAGGTACCTGGAGAACCTGCTATTGCTGATGTATAAAATTTATTTCCATTGTCTGATCGTTTACTCCTATCTTGGTTAATTCTAATCCCTGGGTTGAGTCGTGACGGAGAACATCCAATGGATAAGCATGCAGTGAACATTAGGATCTCCACTTATGACCTTGAAAGTCATGCTACATATTTGGACAAAAGGGCATTTGCACACACATCTCCCAATTCCTATGTATTTACATATCTAACACTTAAACTTTACTTTTTTCATATATACTACCCAAATCTTTCATATCACATAAAAAATGCAACTATTTTCACTTTTTTAAAGCGAAACATACCTTTTTATGCATAGGCAAGGTGGCATATGTAAAAATTGAAGTTCAAGTGTTGGATATGTAAATACATAGTAATTAAGTGGTATGAATATAAATCTTCCAAAAAGAAATCCTCTGAAGTACTACGATAAGGCTTTATACATCAATCCTCATTAGCACCCCACCCCCCCTCTGATTAGTAGTCTCCTTTTGCACTGATATGCTCTTTTGAAATATAAGGTTTCAGAGTCCCTTAACCACCCAGTTTTAAGCGGTTCAGCGGTTCAGAAAATTCCCGTGCTGGATTTAGTAGCTAATTAATATGACACTTTGTTTATCCTCTTTCTTTCTGTTTTCCATTATTTTTTTTATTTCGTAGAGAGCCAATGGCATTTACTCGTAATGGATGCATTGTGTGATATGGTCTCCCAAGCTTGTGATTGAATGGTTTACTAAACATCATCCCATTTTTCAGAGCCTTGACCTGTTCTATTAATGCGGTTTCCTAAATTTGATGCCATCAATAAAATTGTGTTATTTCTATGCTAAATATATGTCATCTTAAAGATTCTCTAGTAGAACTTGGCTTTAATATGCATTGTTCTGTTTTTTTTTTCTCTAACTTCCAATTTTGTTTTATTGTATTCATTTTTAAAATTTTCACCCCTGAAAGCTCTTTTGATTTATATTGTTAGATGTTGGCCCCACCGGATATGCTTTATTTGTGGCTGTTTATGCTGGATTGGAGGTAACACGTTAATTCAATTTTATATTTTGTTACCTCATTAGAGGAATTTGATTTGTTGTTGATTGGGCTAGGAATTTTGAAAATAACAGCCAAGTTGCTTCCTTCTTAGGTCACTTAAAATGCAGTGCAGCTAGACCGTTCAACCTGAAAAAATTAGTTTTGGTTCTGCTTTGTCAGTCATGTATCCACAGAGTCCAATTATGGCTGCTTGGTAATCTAATATAAGCCACAGTGTCCAATTATGGCTGCTTGGTAATCTAAAATAAGTTAAGAAATGCTCGTCCTATTTCCTATCCCTTAGCACATTCTGCTAAATGATAGTTCATTCGGTATACGGTGATGAGAAGTTCCTGATCTAATCTTAAAGTGAAATTTTATTATCTGAATCATACTTAATAATAGAGAATTATGAACAATAAATATCAAAAGGCATCCTGCCTCTGAGATAGCTTAATTTACTTTTTATGAGCGTTTATGAATCGGAAGAAAATTGACTGTTTTTGCCATTTTATTTCATGTTTTACATTTGCAATTTATAAAACTTGCTAAGATAGGCAAACTATATACACATTGAAATATTTTTCTTTTCATTTTAATTCTTATGTACTAACATACAGTAGTTATTCATGATGTCATAGATTCTTGCGATTCCAGCCATACCATTAACTATGTCAGCTGGCCTTTTATTTGGGACTTTAACTGGCACTATCATAGTATCTATCAGTGGAACAGTAAGCTGTTTACTTTTATATCTATGCCATATATTTACATTTTAACTGCCTGCTTCATGCCTTCATCAGTTACCTTCGTACTTATTCTAGGTTGCTGCTGCTGCTGCTTTCCTCATTGCTCGATATTTCGCTCGTGAAAGGATTCTTAAGTTGGTTGAAGGGAATAAAAAGTTTCTTGCAATTGACAAAGCAATTGGCGAAAATGGATTTCGCGTTGTAACTCTTTTGCGTTTGAGTCCATTACTCCCATTCTCTGTCGGAAATTATCTCTATGGTTTGACTTCTGTGAAGTTTGTTCCCTATGTGTTGGGAAGGCAAGTTATGAATTTCTTTTACATCTTTCAACTAAATTTGATCCGTAATGCTGTTGACGTTAATCTCTAATTGTTTATGACATTTTTTTCATGATGAGAAGATTAGGCTCTTTAAAAAGAATTGCTCTGTTATAATTTCTTTGCAAAATTTGTTGCTAGTGATAACTAGAAAGATTGTGAAGATCATGTGGGCATGAAATAACATGGTTTGCAACTATAACTGCGCCAAGGTGTACAAATTACAGTGCTCTTATTTTAGGCTAAACTTTTGTTAACGATTGAAAGCTTGTGTTTTAATTTTCCTCTTTTATCAAATCTGAATGATGAGCTCAGAAATGTGGGGAACTTCAAACCGAGATAGGCAATTCCTGCCTTAACGTGAACTAATTAAACTTATGATAAACTTATTTATGCATCCAGCACAACCGTTGCATTTGATTTGTCAGAAAATTTCCCACTCTGTTACAGCAGCTATTCTTGCAACAACTAATATATTCTCATTTTTTTATTAATGAAACTATCACTATAGTTGTAGAGTACAATTATTCTATTTGTATTATAATTACTGCGATATGCAAAACTGACGTTATTTGATGCATTGTTGGCAGTTGGTTGGGGATGCTTCCTGGAACATGGGCATATGTTAGTGCTGGAGCATTCGGACGTGCCATAATCGTAAGGTTTTTTTTTTTTACCTGTAATAGTTATGTTAGGTGTTAAGCTTGATATTTAATGGTATTGTCACAATGTAACACGTTTTTCTTGATGTCGGCCAGTTTAGCATAAATTTTATTTTCTGTTTTTATTATTTAAAAAAATGTTTGTTTAGGTGCCATTTGGGATCACTTTTATTTTTTGTTTTCTATTTTTTTTTTTTTATCTTGTTTATGTTTTGATTTGAATTAAAACATTTTTTGGTTGTGGTAGTTGTTTTTAAAAACACTCAAAACATCTTTTAATTATTTTGAGTGTTTTTAAAAACATGGTGATTTGTTTTAATAAACAAATAATAAAAATATATAAAACTTATATTAACCAAACATATTTTCAAAATCAAAAACTAAAAGCGAAAATAAAAATAGAAAATAAAACATGATGCCAAACAGACCTGTGTATTTTTTTGTATCTTTTTATTTTTTATTTTTAAAAATAAATCAACTTATTTTTAAGGGCACTCAAAACAACCTTTATGTGTTTTGAGTATTTTGAAAAGTAACAATTGCAATCAAGTATATTTTATTTCAAATGAAAACACTAAAAAAATAATATGAAAATGAAGAACAAGAATACAAAAGACAAAAGTAATCCCAAACTGCCCCTTCATTTTTCTATTCACCATTAATTTATCCAAATAAAACAAACACAGACTTGTTATTTCTTGCGGACATCTGGAAAATGTAAGGCTAATTAATTGTAGGAGTAAGAATAATTATTAAAAGTTCTTTTCAAAATTTTTTTTTACATTAAATCATAATTTGGTGCTCCATAACTAAGCCTCAAGGATCTAAAAATCGTCCATATATTGATGTTTTTTGCAGCAAGAAGAATCAGATGTTGGCTTTCATGGAGGAAGCAACCAATTTTTAACTCTTGGACTAGGCCTTCTCGCCACGGTTCTCGCTGCTGCTTATGTTACCAGACTTGCAAAGGTAAGCATATTTTGTGAATGCATCCTTCTTTTGCCAATCTCTATAGCGTTGAATGTTGGCCTTTAAAAAGAAGCATAATACTAAGTTAAGTGTTGCCGAGATGAGAATGATTAGGTGGATGAGTGGCTTTACACTTAGAGACAAAATGCGAAATGAATATATTCGTTATGGTTGGTGTAGCTGGTGTAGCTCCTGTGACGGATAAAATTAGTGAAATTCGTCTTAGATGGTTTGGTCAAATTAAGCATCAACCATCTGATGATCCGATTAGGAGAGTAGTTGTTTTAGATTCGACTTATGTTAAGAAAGACAGAGGTAGACCTGGGAAGACTTGGGCTTATTGTGTAAAAAATGATCTTAATTTATTAGAACTAAATGAAAATATGATACTAAATAGGATGCAATGGAGAAAAGCGATTCATGTAGCCGACCCCACGTAGTGGAATTAAGACTTTGTTGTTGTTGTATCTTTCTTTTGCCAATCCTTATTTGCAGTCTTTTAAGTCTCGAGTTTCCAAATTCAAGCGTGGAGCTAAATTACAGCTATGACCATGAGTTGTAGTGCTTGTTATCTCTGGTATAAATATATGGTTGTTTAGGAGTGTAATGTAAAACTAGATCTTTGCCGCTGTAAAACAATGTTTAAGAAGTACTTAAAAATTACTTTATGTGATTAGGAGAACATTTAACTCTTCTATAAAATCAATTTTCAAAGAAAAAGAAATACCCTCTGTCACAATTCTTAGTACTATCAGAATATTGGTGGAAAATGCTCGACGAGTATCATCTAGTACAACAACAACAAAGCCTTAATCCCATTACGTGGGATCGGCTACATGAATCCTTTTTCTCCATTGCGTCCTATTTAGTGTCATATTTTCATCTAGTTTTAATAAATTAAGATCAATTTTTATGCAATAAGCCCAAGTTTTCCTACATCTACCTCTGCCTTTCTTAACATAAGTCAAATCTAAGTCATCTACTCTCCTAATTGGATCATTAGATGGCCGACGTTTAATGTGACCAAACCATCTAAGACGAGTATCATCTAGTATTACAGAAAATTTTTCTATCAGGATATCTTAATAAAAAGTATCAAGATGGGTTTTAAAACCTTAAAAGCTTTTATATCTGCTTTCAAATGCGTTCAATATTTATTATTGACTTAAGTGTCAAAGCTTTTCCCTAGTTATTTACATGGGGACATTTTAGTCCTAGGGTTTATAAAAGTGTCAAATTAGTCTCTAGGTTCTTTAAATTGGTTTGTGGGGACTATTTCATTCTATATTAAAAGAGTCTTGGGGATTAAATTTGCAATTTTATAAACCTAAAATGACTCCCATGTAAAGCGTCGGAGGACTATTTTGACATTTTTCTTATATGTTTCTTACATTCATCTCAAACCAGGTCAAAGGGCTTTGAGACCCAACATGATCAAACTTTCAACCAGAATATCCTTGCATGGCTACTTCATTAGCAGCTTGTCTGAAATGTTATTGTTTCAAGGAAGATTTTCATACATACCACTCAATTCCTGTGTATTTACATACCTAACACCCCCTAAACTTCAATTTTTACATTTACCCCACCTTTCACATACATGAAAAGGTGTATTTCATTTTTTTAAAGTGAAAGAGATATTTAAGTGTGTTATAAATGTAAAAATGAATTTTTATCTGTTAGATATGTAAATACATAGAAATTGGGCGGTATGCATGTAGATTCCCATAGTTTTAAATTCATTAAATATTCATGCATCACTTGATCTCTTAAATCAGACTTTCTGCTTAATGCAGGACGCCATTAAGGATTTGGAGTGAATCTATATGCCCCTGTAGTTCGCCATGGCACATAGTCTTAAGCTTTTATAAGATCTGGGAGTTCATCAATGGCTTCAAATGCCTTACAGATATAAGGTGAGTAAAAGGTATTTTCTGCTTCTGGCAATTCCGTGTAAATAATGTGGTTTTGACCATTAGTATTAGTTTCAAAGCTTTCCTCCCAATCTGTAAGTCTTATGTTAAGTAAAGGAGATGAAGCAAAAACAATGTGGCAACTCCTGCAAATTTGTATGCCAAATTTGGGGTTTATTTACATATCTAACACCTATGCTTTCATATTTACATACATAACTCTGAAATCTTTAATATCACATAGAAAACATCATTATTTCTTGTTGAGAGTGAAATGCATATGTAAATCTGAATATCAAATTTTAGGTGTTCGATATGTAAATACGAAAGAATTGTGGTATGGAAGCAAGTTTTCAATGAGTAATTATAGGTCAATTTGTAAGAACCTAAACTTGATGTTGTGAGAATCTAATGTCTTTCTTATTTCAATTAGTATATAAATATTCATGAAGTAAAACTAATATGTATGTTTTATTTCTATTAATATCACAAACATGTTGCAAAAGAGTAACATTCATCTGGAGTTGTTATCACAACATGAAAAGTTGAGTATAAAATATAATGGTTAAGTGTATTAAGTTTTTTAAATAGGAAAAACATACTCTAATTAAAAAAAAAATGTAATTATGCACTTTAATATCACTATAAGGACTCTATCTTCAGAGATTTAGTTTGGAATTCTCGAGCACTTTTGCCCACTTTGAGAGTAACTTAACATGTAAAATATCAAAGGTCAAGGGTGGCGGTGCGACATCGTACTGCAGTTTTATCTTTTTGGGTAAACTGTGTTTTGACTACTTTTTAAAAAGCCGTCACTAAATTATGCGTTTATCCACTACTTCTGACTAGGTACCGTAGCAATTTTCTAGTCGTGGTTAGACTTTTAAGAGAAACAAATTTATAATAGCCATTGTAATTTTTTTAGCATCAGATTATTATTCAGCAGATTTACAGCTACTTTTTAATAAGCTGCAGTTCCCTCAAACAGATCTTTGGTTCAAACATATTATAATTACTCGTATCTTAAATTTTTTGGAACACGCATCAATATTCATATAGAAAATACATATCATAGAACATCTTAAATTCCTAATGGAATCATTCCTACTTATTGAAAACAATTTTATTAAATTTATAGCATTAATACTTAATTAAGAATTAGACTTTATATTACATAGAATCTCTCTAGATGCCCACACATAGACACTACTTTATCATCAAACTTCATTATTCACAACATAATAATATTATATGAAAACTAATAATAAATTAAATTTAGTTAAACTTCTCAATACAATTCCTTGATATTTTTCATATAAAAACACTCGTCTCAAGTCGTGCCCGTCCCCCAAACTACACTTTGTTGGCGTCCTTCTCCATTTTTCCTCTCTTCCTCGAGATCACATACTATCTCGCTTTCCTTTGCTTTGACATATTCTATTCTTGTTCTTAGTATGTTGTAGGGGTTTGTTCCCTTTCATTCTTGTCCCTCTTATTAAATCAATATTAATCAATTTGATTCCTTCTATTTTTATATCATGATTATATATACTAAGTATTACATGACCTATTTTAATAAAATGTGTTTCATGATTTTGATTTAGTTATCTAAAAAATTTTCTATCAATAGTGTGCAAGAACTATAAATTATTATCAATGCAACCAATTGAAGGTTGTGATGTTGATCTTTCTTATGAAAAGCCTTCTCTTTTACTTGAAATAGTCTCTTTTTAGTGCTGTTAAGTATTCTTATTCAAACTATTTTTTAAAGGAAATCTTAAATTCCTAATTGAATAATTAATATTTAATAAAAATAATTTAATTAAATTTATGATGTTAGTATTTAATTATGAATTATACTTTATATAACTTTAATCTTTCTGATGTCTTAACTATACTTTATTTCATACATCCAATTTAATTATTTTATATAATGCCATTATTAAATCATATTTATATTTATTTAAACACAACTTTATAATAATCTTATATGAAATTTAATAAAAAAATTAAATGCTAAATAATCTTCAAAATATGATTCCTCGACATTTGTGTGTTATTGAAAGCTCTAAAATTTTTCATTGAACTATTTTATAAAATATATAGATATTAAAATATTAAATCAACACAAAAATCTTAATAAAATGATTCTTTTGGAAATAGAATAAATCCAAGTTTTCCAAATATTACTTAATTCTTCAGTTCACTTTCATTGCCCCTAATCGTGGGTATGCCTACGCACACATTCAAGCACAACCTTTGTTGCTCATGCAGGTTGTCACACCCACAGACTCCTGCTCAAGCCCATCTACTTGCCAGTTGTCACTCTCTCACCTACCATAATCCCTTCGATCCCGCTCTCCTCCCTATTTCTTGCTCTCCTCTCTATTTCTCATTAGCACAAGGCTAGCTTGCTCTTTCTTGAGCGAACAATCATACTAGCCACTTGTTACCTTCTCTCGAATCATGCTTTGTCGCCAAGCCAAATTATGTCAATTTCATTCTTCCTCTTTTCTTTCTCCCTCTCAATTTCATGTTATACCACTCTGTTTCAATCACCTTTTTCAATTTTTGCTCTCAGTTCACTATTGGGAATTCACCCCCCTTCACTTTTGTCCTATTAATAACAGTGAACTAACTAATATCAGTTCAATTAAATTGGCATCAGTTTATGCATTTTCTTTTTTATATTAGGATATTATAATCTTCCCCACTTAAGAAAATTTAGTCCTTAAAATTTATGTCTTGTATAGGTTCCTCCTAGATATGTATAAAGAATGAACTACTCAATCTAAAATCATCATGAATAAATCTAAACCATATTACTAAATCCTTATGAAACCATCAAATTTGATTCAATGGTAGATACAAATCTAATATTAGAAGTCAATCATTTAATATAGAATAACATGACTAGAATAGCTTCATATTTCTTATATATAAGAGGACATAACTAAAACAACAATCATATTATATTAAATAACAAGATTATAATAACCTCATCAAAGTCTATCAATAACAATAGTAATTCTTTTTTTTTTCTTTACTTGCTAAGTAAGGCATAAACTCTATGTCAAATGTGTTGCCTTATTTTATTTCTATCATGGTTAAATGCACTAGAATATGTCACCTTTGGTTGGTCACTCTTGATAGATCCATCTTGAGAACTCCAAATTGGATTTATTTATGAGTTAGTATCAGTTATAGATTCCTAAGCAAAATTGGGATTATTCCTCATATGACACCCTGATTGTCGATATAAATAATATACTTTAGAGCTAAGTAAGTGTTCACCTAGGTAGCTTTTCACACTAAATTCAAATCTCTATAGTCTTACTACCGGTCTAACTACCACTCTATTGGCATGAGACGTGTACACTCGATTGGAACTTCTAAATTGAGATCTTGATTAATTTCTTTCATGTTCTTCTTCTTATATAACTTTTTTTTTTTATTTTGAAGTGATTTAAAAAATCAATTTTCACTCTTCTAGCCATTTTTACTATAATGGAATAATCATTGATCCCAGGCGCCAATGAATGGCAAATCAAAATCACAAGGATTGATAAAAAATTGTCAAACTTCTTTTCAACAATCGAGACCAACAAATGTGTATATCTTAATAATTTTGTAAAGTTGGTTTATATATATATATATATATACAAAGACACACACACACACACATTCTTATTAAAATTCTTCATTAATTGAGACTCTTAGGTTATGATTTACTTCACGTGCTTAAAATAAATCTCTTATTGTGATATCACTTTTGTCTTGACTTGAACTAAGATTTTGGAAATTTCATGGAAGAATAGACTCTTGGATTGTGTTGAAATCATAATTATTATCTCAAGATTATTAATGGAATTTTTTTATATTTTCTAAAAACTCTATTTTGAAATCATGATTATTATCTCAAGATTATTAATGAATTGATTTTTTTTATATTTTCTATAAACTTTATTTGAATATTAAAATAGCAAAAGAGCCATAAAAAATACAAAATCAAAATTTTAGATCAAATAAAATACATTTATCTTATGTGGCATTGTCTTCCATTCTACTCATTTAAGTTTTGGATTATTTAAATAAGCAACAATAGTGAGTTATCAAAAATAAACCAATCAAATCTTGATTGTTATATATCACAACTACTAGATGAAGGAGGAGTAATATGCATGTTAAACTTTCTTATAAAGCTATAATAATAATATATGACATGCTACACATATTAATTCCATTTATGATCATAAATTCTATTAAAAAATAAATTTCAGTGGATTTTTAAAAGTGTATATTTGTATTTTCTTTTTAATAACTAAATTTCTAATTTCAAGAAAGTTTTCATTTAGCTCTGCACACGTGTGTGCGTGTGTGTGCGTGCACTTTAGTCTGACTTATTGGTTGCGGCCTTTGGTGTAAGTCCCTCGGGTCGGGGGGTTGATCCCTATGTAGGATCAAATTACCCACTTTTCTGGAAGGGGAGTCCGCCCCTCAGTCAAACAATGGGGTTGATCAACGATCAACTTTTAGTAATTAAAAGAGCAGCTCGTGACTCCTTACGCGTTAATAATTAAAAAGGATACAAAATGGGGAGGGATATTGGATACCCGTATAAAAACAAAACAAAAAACATCAATTCCTAGGGGTTACACAATCCGTAGTACAACTCCACGCTAAAAAAAACAGAACATACATGTATAAACCCAAAAAAGTATACCAACAGAAAGAGTATACCAAAAAATTACATGTATACCAACCACAAAAGACCATAAAAAAATTGTGAAAATTGTAAAAATAGAAGTGCAAAGAACCTAAAAAACCATCAATTGAATTCTTCATTCTCCTACAATCAGTTAGGGATCTGCATTGATATAGAGTAGCCGCAACCATAAACCCGAGAAACAGTGTGCAGTACAGTGTAAATCGTAGCTTTGTTGACCTTAGACCCCAAATAAAGGATTGCAACACAGTTGACAACATCCAAGTATCCAAAGTCCAACATCCACCAAAACTTGTTGTGAAAAATAGTAGAAGAGAGAAAGCACAAAGCAAGAGTGCATTGTTCAACAAGATGAACATTAAAATCGAACGCATCCATAAATCAGATAGGTAGATCCCTGCCACAATAATATAGAAAACTGAGTATAGGGAATGAAAAAATTTATGCAAAAATATGATGTGGCCACAAAGAGAAGCCACCCAAACCCCAGAGAAACCATGAACCCATAAAGGGATGAACCCATAAAGGGAAGGGAATTGCACCCTAACACATAATTCCCAAAGTGGCATGAAGCTATAGCGTGAAATATCATCAAGGATAAGAGACCATCCATCTGAAAGCAAAACAGTGTCCAGCAAAGTGATCCAAAAAAGCTGGTCATTCAATAACAGAAATAATTTAATAAGGATATATCCAATAAGAG